ATAGCAGACCTGTGTCCAGCTATTACACAATGCTTATATACACGTGTGCTCACCTGTCGCACAGCACCTATAACCTCACCATTCTGCTGCACAGTGCCTGTAACACACCTCCATAGTTTGAGTCAGCTATGGAGATAGAACATGTGGCTACTCCAGCCTCTCCTAACTGATCCCAAATACAGCTATTCCTCAGCCCACCACCTGCTGTACAGCCCAGCACTGCTGCTGTCACTGTTCCTTTCAAACTCCCGAGAGATTATTTCTTGGAAGAAGAGAATGGCACTCCTCTTTTTAGTTTCAGTACACTTGTCTGCCTGTTGTACAACAGACTGTATAAACAGGCATGGTTTCAATTTTAATTGGAAAAAAAATTCAAAATCAGCACTGCTGCTATTCTTCCACAGATTTATTAGTGACCTGCTTGTGCAGTTTCAGATATTATATCTGTTAAATTAAAAGGTGTGGAAAAGGTCTGTTGTGTAACACTTGTATTGTAAACTGAATAACAGGTAACATTATTCATTGGCATTTCCAGCATGGTCTTACAAATTCAAATTCAGCAATACGTCACCTTTCTGTTCAGCACAAAGTGCGCCATTTCTAGCCCAGAATGACCCGGCCACAACCCGAACAGAACTCTGTCACCTCTCCAGCACCTGGAGGGCTTTTCCACGCTGATACATTCCATCAAGCCTTTCTCCTCAGGCTACATATCAGTGACTCCGGTTTCATGTTCTTTCTGAAAGTCTCTACACTTCAAAGCATCATGGGAATGAGCCACACTGTTTTCTAAGATAGCGGCCCACGCCGAGACAAAACCTTCAAGGGCTAAGGCTTCTACCAGCAGCTGAACCTGAGCTGTTAGTTTGTCTGACAGGAAGAATAACTAGATCAGTGTGCTTGACGTTATATTTACAGTAGTTCAGGTGGGCAGCTGCGTCAGCATGCGTAGGCTGCAAAGGAAAAAGTAATAGGTTTATTCCATGCTGGAAAAAAGAAGAAAGAGAACACGTTTTGGCCTTGGAGACTTCTTCAGGACACCTTCTTCTTGACACCTGAAGAAGGCTCCACGGCCGAAACGTTGTGTTTTCTTTCTTCTTTTTTTCAGCCTGGAATAAACCTATTGCTTGTTATATTTACAGGCCATGTTAATCGTCTGGGATTGAGATACCAATGAGATGACAATCAGCCCGCGGTGTCACGCGGCTCCCGTGTGATTCGGGCGCGAAGTGTCCTCCGAGTCCAGTTCATCCGAACAGCGCTGGGGTTCTCGGTACACCCTGAAGGGGGCGCCGTGGCCCGGGATGATGACATCGGCAACTTCCAGCACCTCCCGCCGGCTGCGCTCCTGCAGTTCCGGGTTCTCGCTCACCTCCCGCCACCCGTCCTCGCCCGCGTGGCGCTCGAACAGGTCCCCCGCCACCAGCACCACACCCAGGGAGGTTCCCCGAACTAGCACACTGACATCGCTGCCCGTGTGGCCGGGTGTGGGCACTATCGCCACCTGGTGGTTAAAGAGGGGAACGGCTCAATTGCCTATTGAGAGAGAAAACAGCAATTCAACAAACTGGGTTCTGTCTGCCAACCTCATCCCAGGCTCATCTGATTTCTTAATCAATTAGGCTGAAGTGACCGATCTGCTGAGCTCTCAATTCCTGGGAAGAGGGATGAGTTAGAAACTAACCCTAAACTTCAGCAGCTCCAGAATTAAGAATGCTGATTTAGGAGTGCCTGACGCAGTCATTCCCACCTCACTAACTGGTCACCTGCTAAAACAGCTGTTTGCTGGAAAAAAAAGCACTGCAAAGGAAACGTAATTCTGAAAATACAGACTAGGTGATAAATATTTTATACAAGAAAAACAGTTCAATCGGGGGATTCAATCAGTCCAAGCTATAAAGATAATGTTGTGTTTTCTTTCTCCTCTTTTCAGCATAAAATAAACCTATTACTTGTTCCTTTGCAGCCTACGCATGCTGATGCAGCTCCCCACCTGAGCTACTTCAAGCTATAAAGAGCCCAGCTCTATCATAACTGAGCAGAGCCCAAGTACTTATTGAAGACTTTTTCTGAAGCACTGCAGGATGTCAGAACCGATCGGGTGGAGAGTGAAATCGCGCAGCAGGTTAAAAAACAGGCTGGGCTCACATGCTCGTCGATGGCGTGTGGCCGCCTCTGCGCCAGCTCCGTGCAGAGATACCGGTCCCCCTGGCATATGTCAAAGCCCACGACCAGCGTGGCGCCGGGGAAGAGGCTCAGGTTCCCCACGTGGTCCGAGTGCCCGTGGGTACACACCACCCAGCCCACGTCGCCTGGGCCGAGCCCCCGCTCGGCCAGCCGCCCCAGCAGCAGATCCCGGTCCCAGGGGCCCCCGGTGTCCACCAGGACCACTGTGGGCCCGGAGAGGAGGGTGATGGTGCCGTCCGCTCGCGTAGAACCGTCGGGCTGGGGGTGGCAGTAGCCCTCTTTCAGAACCGCCACCGAGTACGGCGTTCCAGGGATCTCGGGCCCACCCAGAGGCTCGGTTCTGATGGAGAGCGGGGTAGTCTGGGCCGGGTCCATCTTCGCTGTTGCCCACCCCTGACCAGCTGTGTTTGAACCCCTTATCTTTCTCTCTGGAATCGCCTGGTCAGCCCCCACCTCCTGCAGAAGGACAGGGTGAAAATAACAAGGACCTGACTCCCCCTGGGAAACACCCGAGACCTCGATCCCTTCAATGTCTTCCAAAGAGGCTGTCAAGAGACTCGTATCCCCCGACAGCCACACAACCATGACACTCGCTGCTCTGGCGCCACCTGCTGGACACAGGCAGTGTCCAGCTAACGACGGACTGCTGCCACCACGGATGTGTTGCACAAAACAAATGTTTTTAAACATCGCCCTCATCTCGTTCACCCCCCCTGAAAAGGACCGCCTCATTCCCGACTTCTCTCAGCCTGGTGTGCTTTCAGGTCGTGTCACAGAGGGGACAACCAGAATTCATATTAGAGCTGAAGGCAAAATAACTACATGAAGAAAATTCCAAATGGTAAAATAGGAATAAAAACTAAGGTTATTTCTAAGTAGATGAGGATAGTTCAGCAGTGCCGTCCGCGTACACGCTCATTTGTTTCTGTATTAAAAAACAGTGAAAACGATGTCATGGTAGTTTATCTGGGATCTAATAGAAACCCTATATTCTCTTCGCAATCCAAAATATTGACACGGGGGCTCGGGTGGATAAAATAAAGTTACCCGGGGTTTAGCGATTGCATGTGTTCGCCGTTACATTGATTTAACCGGACAGATCTGAAATGGCAGTCATTTGTCATTTTCGCAGAGCTGCTGAGGGGTGCTAGAGTCTTTTATATTTTTTAAGAAATAACGATTAACCACCTCGCCCAAAGGGAACACTCACAGCGACCTAAGACGATACGATGCGACTCGAGTTTCAAACCTGCGCTTCTCCTGGTTTCTACGGCGAAGCAGGAGAGACAATTTCCCTTCCGGCGGAAACGCGATTCTTCAGGTCCCCAGTCGCGCGAGGCATGGTGGGATACGGAGAGATCCGTCCACTCTTTTGCCTCATCTTCACAATGTAACACTTATTCCTCTCAGTTTAAGCACTCCTGTAACAAAAGATCTCAATTTATCACGTCATTCCTATTCTAATAATGAGAGTCCTCCTTCCCCAGCACTTTCATGTAGTTTTCACAGACAATACTGCCTTACTATGCTGGCCAGACCAGGATATTTCACGGCTGAACACGATTGAGGGTGTAGGTGGCTATGACCGAGTGCTCTGAGAAACTGGACACCCAGCCAATCTTTGTGAGGATTCATGAATATAATCCTTAGAAAGATTGGTTGTTCTCATTCATTTCAAGCTCGAGTCGCGTACATTGCCAGTCCACTGGTACTAGCTGTGTTTCCTGCCCACACCAACCTGGGGACTGGGCAGTGTTCACACTGGAGTACCGCTCAGTGAAACAAAATACAGTGAAAGGGAAGACAATAAAGTGCAAAGATGGGAACAACTAGGATTCAAGTCTTTATTTAAGAATGGATGAGAATACAAAAGTCATACAAAAAAGAGCATTTACCTTAAAAACACTGAAAAACAAATACAAGACAAGAGTCAGCTTTTGTTTTATTTAAAGGCTGATTAATAAAAAGGGGGGGTATCTTGAAAACTGTGACCCCAGGCAGCTCTCGGAGTGAACACGACCTGTAATGTTAGGTCCTAACTGTTCAGATCCACGGGCCCACAGAGCACGGTCCCTCATCACAAGAGCTGCTGCAACAGGCAGGAAAAATGCACCACAGCAGAGACCCACTCACCTGCAGGGGCACAGTCTATACATTTTCAGGCCTTCTAAACTCCACACTTCCTAACTGAGGTAATGACAGCCTTGGACTTGGACCTGTTGAATGCCTTTCTCCAGTCCTTCTGGGTCTGGAGATCTGTTAAAACCTGCAGGACTGAAGGTCTCCGGGGCAGGAGCTGTGTACCCGTGTCTTACAGTGACAGGCCTGTACTGTGATGTAGAATGCAGTGCAGCGCTGCAGTTTTGTTTGAGGTTTTCTGTGACTCTGCTGGATCTTACACAGTTATACTACATAGTTTTACTGGTCTCTGCTGTTCTGCTTCAAATTGAACTGTACAATACTGTATTATAGCACTTTTATACTGTATCACTGCATTCTGTTGTAAATCACTAGGCTGCACTGCAAAAAAAAAAAAATATAGGAGAACAGAGAAGAGATAGAACACACTATACTACACAAAACACAGCTACACTCGAACACACACATAATATAGTAATATTGTGTACAAAAACGAAAGGTTAGGTATTTAACTCCACTAAACCAGACTGAACTGTTATGATATAAAGCAGAACTATACTGATCAACTCTAAGACTGTACCAAAAAAGAATATAAAATTGTAATCAAACACACTGTGCAACAGATCACTGTACTGAGCAATATGGTGCTGTTCTATACAGCCTTACAGGAGCTCATCACAGCCAATACCTCACACAGGTAGCCTGTGCCCCCTGCTGCACTAGAATGGATATTATCATTAGAGTTCAGTCAGCAATGCAACACTTTTTAAAATTCTACGTTTAGCACATGATTACATTTTCTGAAACACAAAAAAAGAACTGGCACCCGCATTCAATGACCAGGGGTGAGCAGAGTTTCGACTGCACCGGAGTACCTACAGTGGAGCCAAAACCAGGTTTCATACTCACAGCACTGAAAGAGAGAATCCAAAACTCATCACACTACCGTTTTGGAACTTTTGCTTTTCAAGACATTCAGTCAAAATGAGAAGAAGTGTAACAATAAAAAAACAGGCTAACTAAAAACTGTAACAGGCGGTTGCAGAAAAAGGTAGCGGCAGCTCTCTCCTTCAAGATCTCACAGCGATCACAGGGACTGTGGTTGGCTCTGGCTCACTCAAGTCTAAACTGCAAGTCTAAAATGAGCAGTTTAGTTCATTCAGGACAGGATTAAACCCCACCTAAAAAAAAGGAGAGCAATCAAAAATCACCTCCTCATATTTGTAGCGTTGGGTGACACAGCAGCCAGTGAGTGATTAATGCTGTCGTGTAGCTGTAGTGTTAAATGACACACTTATCCAGTCTCTGATGTGGCAGTGTAGCCAGTCCTTGCGTTTGGCACCAGAGCTTATATTGGGGATAGAGTCCATCCATCTGGCTATAATAACATTCCTGAGAATATGTAAGGCCCATAGCATCTCAGAGCTCCCCTGCATCCCGTGAGGTGTGTGCTGCCCCTGACTCACTGCCCCCCTCACTCTCCTTCTCTGTATTCTCTTGCCCTCTCCCGCCTGCGCTTGCGGTCTTCTTATCCGGAGTTCCCTTCTTCCCCACGTCGCCTTTCCACATCTCCTTCAGGCAGCCTGCCGGAGAGGGGAGAGGGGTCACATGTCAATGCGTGGCAGTGGCCTGGAGTTCCTCTGGGCAAGAGTCTGCTGTGGCGCGTGCATGCTGCAGTGTCTGTAAGAGACAGTGTGCGCTCTCACCCATGTCAGAGCCCTTGAGGACGCGTTTCTCACACAGGAAGGTCTCCAGTCGCTGGTCCTGATGGTGGAAATACCAGTCCTCCACGACATCTTCATACTGCTCCAGCATCGTCT